GGCCTGACAGGGTGGGGTGTGGTTTTTTTTTTTTTTTTTTTTTTTTTTTTAAACAAGGTCCTACTTTGTAGCATAGGCTATCCTGAAATCCAGGGTTCTCCTGCCTCTGCCTCCTGAGTGCTGAGATTATACGTATGTAACACCTTGCCTAGTGCTTTTGTGTGTGTGTGTGTGTGTGTGTGTGTGTGTGTGTGTGTGTAGTCAGGTGTTTCGGTCGGTCGGTCGGTTGGGGGACAGCCTTTGGTGTCAGTCCTTACTTTCTGTTTGAGACAGGATCTCTTTGTTGTTTTTCCATTGTGCATACCAGATTAGCTGGCCTGCAAGCTTCTGAGGTTTCTCTTGTCTCTGCCTCCTGTCTTCTTGTAGGAATACTGGGATTATAGACACTTAGGCTATGTGTCTAACATTTATGTGGATTCTGGGGATTTGAGCTCAGGCTTCCATGCTTGCATGGCAAGTACTTGTGCCCACTGAGCTCTCTCCCCAGCTTGTGTTCTTCAGTCTTAATGGAGTTCCTTAAGAGCTCCATGGTGGTTTTCTTGGATTAGTCAAGGATGCTTCCTGAGGCTGCCATGTCCTTGGGTCTGATCTGTTCTTAACAGGTAGAACAGAGTGTGGAAACTCTGTTCCCATGAGGAGACCAGAATGTAGACCAGTTTTTAAAAGATTCTCTTTGTTCCCATAAGTTTTTCTGTTAAAACAATGTTTTTCTTTTTGCCATAAAATTGGAGCAACAGTGGGTTAAAAAAATTATTTAATTTTGAGGGTGGGGTAGGGAAGTGTGGTGTGCCATAGTGTGTTCTCTAGGTCAGAGGACAACTTTCGGGAGTTGGTTCTCTCCTACCATGTGAGTTCAGGGGATCAACTCAGGTTATCAGCCTTGGTGCTAAGTATCTTTACCACTGAGTCATCTCACTGGTACCGGCAACAGTTTTCTTTTGTTTTGTTTTGTTTTTGTTTTTTGAGACAGGGTCTCACTATTTAGCCCTGGCTGGCCTGGAACTCACTATGGGACCAAGCTTCCTGAGAGCTGCCTGCATCTAACACCACCCCCCAAACTCCCCTGTCCCCTAGTGCTGGAATTAAAAGCATGAGCCACCATGACTAGCTAGTTTTCTTTGTTTTGTTTTTAATTATTTGTGTGTGTGTGTGTATGCAAGTGCCCTTGGAGGCCAGAAAGGGTATCGACTGTGGTAAGGTGCCCTAATGGGTGCTAGAAACCAAACTTGGATTCTTTGGAAGAACAGCAAGTTGTTGTAACCACTGAGCCATCTTGGTAGCCCTCTAGCAATAGTTTTTTATTCAGTAATTTCTTAGAAGATTTAATGTTTTCTAGGTATTGTCATAAAAGCAATAACAGAATAGCTTTTTATATTAAAGATGTTCATTATCATTATACTCTTTCGTCTAAAGTTCAAATTTGATATTTGTGCTAGGAATTACTGTCTTCCTATTAAAGAATTCACTGAGACATCAGCTCTTTAGTTGGAATAGCTTGTGAATGGCCATGTGATGAGTACAAGAGTTGGAAACTTGGTCTCCTGACTTCTAATCCAGAGATCCCTGGAGTGAAGCTTCAGGTTTTGCCTGCTCACTCAAGGAAGCCTTTTCACACTTGTCCCCTATCTTAATCTTGACCAAGAGCATTGATTGGGCTGGTTTTTCAATGCTGATAAATGTCACCAGCTACACTGGACACATGGGATATGGCAGGGATGGGCATGGGTCCCTCTGTCTCTCTTGATAACCAGAATTCTGCAGATTACTTCATGATGGTCTCACCTTATTTTTCTTTGTGCCTGGAGCTGCAGGGTCTGCCAGGGACATCTGCAACACCTTTCATTTCCCAGGTGAAGCTGTACTGGGCTGTCTCAAGCAGTAGCTGGCCTGGAAGTCAGGTATCCTCTGACTGCTTGCTGAGGACTTGCTGTCACTTCTGCTTCTCTTTGTTTTGTTAACAGGCAGTTTCATCTGGAGATGAGAAAGAAGGGTTGAAACACCCTGGACTGATACTGAAATATTCCACGTATAAGAACCTGGCTCAACTGGCAGCCCAACGAGAGGATCTGGAGACAGCCATGGAATTCTACTTGGAGGTATGGAGTTGGCAGTGTTCAGATCTTCCTGCTTTGAAAGCTCTTAGTTAAAAGGATAAGATATCATCTTGTTGACTGAAAAGAGTTTATAGTGGTGTGTCACCAGGATATTGAGCCTGAGGTCTCTACTCAGTGGGTGATAGCATTGAATATAGATAGGCCTGGTAAGCAGGATTAGAGCCTGGGGCAGGCTTTAGTGCAGAGACCTGCATGTGAATTCTTCTGCCATCCAGTACACCTGTGACTATAGGGGTGTTATTTAACCTGTTCACATCCCTAGGTGTATACCAATGTGATGGGAGTAATAAAAATAATAAAAAAGGATAGAGTTGGACATAGTGGTACATGTCTGTAATTTGAACAGTGGAGAAGTTGAGGCTGGAGGACTATAGCTGTGAAGCCAGTTGGGTTACATAGCAAGTTTGGGTCAAATTAAGCAAGTTGATACATGTTCAGTTATGCAGAACAGCCTGACACTGGCACTCAATGCCCGTCTAGTCATAATATTGCCATTATTTCTGTTAGCTTCTCTGTGGGTATTTCTAATGTACCAGATAGTGTGCTAATTGCTTTTCATGCATTCTTAGGCCACCTTGCAAGCAGGGTGAGCTTATCTTATCCTTAGTACATTATATCAACTGAGGTCTCTTCAAAGCATATAATCTTTCTAGAATCCTCTAAGATTCCTATATTTTCTTTTTATTCTACCCTCTTCATTTATTTTTCCTTTTTTAAAAAGATTTTTTTTTTTTTTTTTTTTTTTTTTTTTGGAGACAGGGTCTCCCTGTAGCCCCTGCTGGCCTGGAACTTGCTATATAGACCAGGCTGGCCTCTGCCCCCCAAGCACTGGCATTAAAGGCATGTGCCACCATGCCTAGCAAAAGATTTATTTTAGTTTTAATTATGTATATGTGTGTATGTCTATGTGTTGGGTATGTGCACATGAGGTGAAGGTGCTTTTGGGTGCCTCTGGCTTCCATTCCTCTTGGACTTGGAGTTACATGTGGTTGTGAGCCACTTGATGTGAGTACTTACTGAACTTATGTCCTCTGCAAGAGTAGCAAGAACTCTTAGCTATCTCTGAAGTTGCCTGTTTCTTTTTTTAGTGTGTGTATTTGGGGGTCGGGGGGGCATACATGCACACATACCTGTGGAGGCCAGAGGTTGACGCTGAGTCTCGGCCTCAGGAACACTGTCCATCTCCTTTGATATAGGGTCTCTTACTGGCCTGGAGCTCATCAGTTAGGCTGGACTGAGTGGTCAGTGAGTCGCAGGGGTTCAGCTGTCTTTGTCGCCCCAGCCCTAGGATTGCAAGCATGTACTACCATGTTTAGCTTTTTACATGGACTGTGAGGCTCAAACTCAGATCCTCATGTTTATATGCAAGCAAACACTTTACCAACTGAGCTATCTTCCCAGAGCCCTCTTTTTTCTTTTTTTTTTTACTACTTTACCTATTAAATATGTAGAAATAACAAATGCATATATTGACAGAGTATATTGAGAAAATGTTCTGCATAAAGTAAATTAGCCTATTGTAACTTTTTCCAGTGTATTCCAGGATAGTGTAGGGTAGGATAATCTTGAACGTTAATCCTCCTCCACCCTCCAAGTGTTGGAATTACAGGCATGGGCCACCATGTCAGGATTATTATGTAACTTTTTTATTTTTTGAGGATTTCATTATATAGCCCAGATTGGCCTTGAACTTACTATTCTCTTGTTTCAGCCTCCAGAGTGCTGGAATTACATGTGTGAGTGAGTCACCATGCCCTGTTCCATATAACTTTTTAATGTGCCATTTCTCTGGGACATGTTACTCCAGTAAAGTGAGCTGGCTTTATTAATTATAAGCAGTAATACCACTTTTGCAATTTACCCGAGAAGTTTGAATGGCTAGGTCAGTGCTCAGTGAGAAATCTAATCAAGTATATGTGTCCCCTCTGTTTATACTGCTTCTAGGCAGTGATGCTGGATTCCACAGATGTCAACCTCTGGTATAAAATTGGACATGTGGCTCTGAGGCTCATCCGGCTTCCCTTGGCTCGCCATGCTTTTGAGGAAGGACTTCGGTGTAATCCTGACCACTGGCCTTGCTTGGACAATCTCATCACTGTCTTGTACACCCTCAGTGATTACACAAGTAAGTTGAGACAGAGGAGAGAGGTTGGCTTAGATAAGCTGGTAGAACAGTTGACCTTGCTAGATTTTTCTGGCAAACTGTCAGGAAGAATGGAAATGTTTTTATGTACTTGCTGGATTCTGTTTTCTTTCTTCATTTGTCAGATACTTTGTAGTAATAAGTAATGTCTTCCAAGTGATTTCCCCCTTCATTTCCTTTGTGCATTGTCCTTTATTTTATTTTATTTTATTTTATTTATTTATTTTTTTATTTTTTGAAAGGATCTCCTTTGTAGCCTAGGGTAGTCTTGAACTTGAAATACTTGCCACATTGAATGGTTAAATGAGAGAAATTTATTTCTCATAGTTTTGGAGGCTGGAAAGTCTAAGATCAGGATGCTGACAAACTGGTGTCTGGTCTTGCTTCTTTGGTTTGTCGAGAACCATCTTCTTGCTGTATATTTACTTGATGGAGGTGGAGAGTGAGAGAGGAAGTAAACATACTTTGGTCTCTTCTTGTTCTTATAAGGACACCACTTTCATCATGGGGCTCTACATTCCTGACCCTGTTTAAACTTGATTACATCCCAGAGGCCCCATTTCCAAACATTATCATTATTAAGACTTCAAAATATGAATGTTAGAGAGACACATTCTGTTTTTAGCATTCCATGCTCTTCCAGAGTTCATGCCCTCCTTACTTACAAAATATGTTCATTCTATCTCAACAGCCCCCTCCAAATCAACTTGTCTCAGCATTAGCTCAAGTCCAGTGTCTCACCTAAGTATCTTAAGACTGTATATGTGATGCTCGAGGTATAATTCATCCTGAAGCAGAATTCCTCTCCACCTATGGCACTGTTAAGCGAAATAGTTTATGTGCTTCCAAAATGTAATAGTGGGACAGACATCAAATAGACATTCCTTTCCAAAAGGGAGAAATGGAAAAGAAGGAAGGAGCCTTGAGTTCCAGGTGAGCCCAAAACTTAATGAGGCAAATTCTAGTAGGTCTTTAGGATCAGGAATAATTGCCGTTGAGGGTCTATCCTCTAGGCCTACTGGATGGCAGTGTCACTTTCATAGGTGAATGAGGTAGCCTCACTTTTGACTTGGCAGGACTCTGCCCCTGAGATACTGTTCTGGGATATCCTGGCCCTTGCAAACTGGAGATGTGGCCTAGCCTTGTAAGTAACTTGCCCTTCTTGACTTCTGGGCCTGTGGTGAGAAATGGCACCTCTAATGTTTTTGGAATCCCCCCCCCCCTTTTTTTTTTTTTTTTTTTTTTTTTAAGTGTAGCAGATATTCACAACCTTTCTTCATTTCCTCCTGGTTTTTCTGTTCTCCTTAGTTCCATTCGGCAATGTTTCTGCTGGTAAATTCCATCTCTGTCTACTTAGCTGATTAAGTTTGCGATTAAATTTGATAATCTTATTATCAAATGATTAGTTATCTGCAAGCCTTTTTGAATAAACCCTTTCAGTTTTTGCAGTATAGGCAAGCTGAGAATTTTCCACATCTTTAAGTCCTAGATCCTCTTTGCTTAATAATTCTTTCTTTCATTCATACATATATTTCATTATACAGTTATTCTTTGGTATCCAGAAAGGATTAATTCTAGGATGTGTTCTCCTCAAAAAACCCAAAACTCACAGATGCTTTAGTTACTTGAGTTTTTGTTTGTTTGTTTTGTTTTGTTTTGATCTTTTTTAAGACAGGGTCTCCCTACAGCCCAGCTGGACTGGAACTCACTATGTAGACAGGGTAGACCCCTATCTCACAGAGCTCCACCTACCTCTGCCTCACTAGTGCTGGGACCATGCCTGGCAACTTTAGTTACTTGTATAAAATGGAATAGTATTTGCATATTACCTATGCACACTATGTCATATATGCAAATCATTTGGCTGAATATAATATAAATGCTAAGTGAGTAGTTATACCATATTGTTTAGGTATCACAAGAAAAATGTGTGTAGGCGTTTGCAACAGACACAGGGTTTGTTTTTTTTTCCAGTTATTCATTTTTTTATCCAGTTTATGATTGAATTTGCCCTCATAGAACCTGAGTATGTAACAGGAGGGCTGACTATAAGCAGTTAAGAAGAACCATGTTGTGCTTTTAACACTTGGCCTTAGGAAACTTCTAACCTAAACATCTAACTGTTGTTCTCATGTACTACCTCCCACAAAACAGTCTTCTAGGCAGCTTAGTCAAGTGCTTTGCTCCGTTTTAACTAGAATCACCTTTCTCTGTTGTCCAATAACATTCCTTATTTCCATCTGAGACACCAGCAGAATTGCCTTTAGTATCCAAAATTTAAAAATCAGGCATGACAGTGTACACTTAAAAGCTAAGCACTTGGGAGGCAGAGGTAGGAGAATCAGGAGGGAGTTCAAGGGCCTTCTCAGCTAATAGTGATTTAGAGGCCTGGGTTATATGAGACCCTTTCTCAAAAAGGCATCATCATCATCATCATAAATAAAGTTTAAAAATCTACCTCTGCCTCCTGTATGCTGAAATTCTAGATATGTCTCACCATGCTTAGCTAATGTCTTTATTTTCATTAATACGCTCTATGTTGCCTTCTATTTCTAGTAAGATGAAAGCTTCTGCATAGCTCTTCTTTCTGAGCCCTCACCAGAATCACCTTGAACGATTTCTTCATAATGTTGTTTTTTTTCTAGCGTATACCTCAAAAATTCCATCTTCTACCTATTACCTATTCTAAAGCACCTTGCACATTTGTTACAGTCACTCTTCATGTCTCAGTATCAATTTTTGTCTTAGTTCAAGCTGTTATAGAAAAATATGATATTTGGATTTGTCCTTATAGAACCTGAACATGTGACAGGAGGACTGACTATAAGTGGTTAACTAATAAGCTTAACTAATAGGCGTTTTTCATAATTCTAGAGACTTGAGAAGTCTTCATATTCTTAAAAAGATGGTATATGCTGAGAACCCTGAGGCATCGCTTGCCTTTCCCACCTCTCATTGTTGTTCTCCACTTTTTAAACCTTGATTGAGGCAAGACATGCACATGGTAAAATATACAAATCCGAGGTATATGGGAAACATGAAGATGTCAAACATTTGCTGCTGCCCAGAAGGCAGGCTATACAAATCCTTTTCTACTCATTACTGCTCCTAAGGAGCTGTGATCTTTTTTTACTGTTACACTAGAGATCAGCTTTGCCTGCCATTGAACCTCCTTAAGGTGGAGTGGGAAGGCTTGCACTTCTCATCCTGGCTCTCTGCTTGTTCTGTGGGTTCCTCCATGCAGAGCATAGTCATCACTAGTCTTTTTAATTATTTTGTAGTAGGTTATATATATCTGCACAGTTAACCATTCTGTACAGGGACATTTAAGGTGTTCTTCCCCAGATTGGGGCTCTTATGCATAATGTTGCTGTGAATGTTCTTGTATGCATTCTTTGGTTGGTTATGTCATTGTTCTCTAGGCTGTCGCAATTTTCACTTCCACTGGCAGAATTTAACTTCTGCAGGGCAACATTTTGATTCTAGTAGTTTCTTCTTTTAGTTTTTGTTTTAGTTTCTTTTTCTTGTTCCTTCCACAATTTGTGTACCCTTCTGTAACATCCAATTCTTTCCCAGCCAGCTGGTTTAACTTTTTGTACTATTCTCTCACGGAAAGAAAAGTTATTCTTGGTAAACATAAAATTCTTGTAGGAAAAATGGGAGTGAGAAATTGTATAGAGATTGTTTTGAGAAACAGTACCAATCAGATTTATATGCATACACAGAAAGAGATTTATTATAAGGAATTGATGCATGCATTTATGGAGGTTGACAATCCCAAGGTCTATAGGATAAATGGGAGAGCTAGAGACCCAGGAGAGCAATGGTATAGTTTCGGTCCAAGTCTAAAGACCTGAGAGCCAGGAAAATGGAAGGCATGATCCTAGTCTGTAGGTTAGATGGCCCTGAAGGAGTTGGTAGTTTGGTTCTAATGAGAAGACAAGGAAAAGCCAGTATCTTCATTTGAAGATAGGCAGGAAAGTTTTCTTATTCAGGAGAGAGTTTCTGTTCTTGTTTGACCTTCAGCTAGTGTACTAGGCCCACCCACATTAGGGAGGGCAGTCCATATTCCACCATTGATTTAAATTTTCTCATATAAAAACATGCTCATAGAAAAACCAAAAATGTTCTTTTAAGATTTGGATTCCCAGGGCTGGAGAGGTGGCTCAGTAGCTCAGAACACTGGCTGCTCTTGCAGAGGGTCCAGTTTCAGTTCCCAGCACCCACATGGCAGTTAACAACCATCTATAACTCTAGTTTCAAGGAATCTGACACCCTCTTATGGCCTCCATAGGTATTGCATGCACAGGTGTGCTTCCATACATGCAGACAAAACACTCATATACATAAAAAATAAAAACCACTGGGGGGGGGTGCATGCCTTTAATCCCAGCACTGGGGAGGCAGAGGCAGGCAGATCTCTGTGAGTTCAAGGCCATAGCAAGTTCCAGGCCATTTGGGGCTACAGGGAGACCATGTCTCCAAAAAGACCAAAAACTTAAAAAAAAGTAAAAACCAATCAATCAAAAAAAAAAAAAAAAAAAAAGAGTATTTAAAAAAAGAATTTGGACCCCTTGTGGTGTAATCAAATTGATACATAAAGTTAATCATCACAGAAACCAAACTGACAAGTTTAGCTCTGATAAATTTTACATTCATTTTAACAAAGAAGTTAAAGCAGTGTGTTAAATTGATGCTGAGTAGGTATGGTGTTGGGCTGACCTCCTCTTGTTCCTTTGAGCTTTCTCAGGCCTTCCCTCTGTGGAATGGTGAGCATAGTACAGCTGGTGAACTTAGCTACTAGAGCTAGTATGCCTGCTGAGAACTAGTGTCATCCAGATTCTCCAGGTGTCCCTGGATTTCTCTCTGGAAGTTGCTGGTGGACACCATTTTCAGGTCCTACTGTGGTGCCAGAGGAGCTATGCATGTCCCTTTTTTTTGACCTGAGATGGGTACCTTTGGACTGTCTGTTGAGCAGCTCAGTCTGTAGCATATTGGACAGTGTTGGAGCCATACAGATCTTTCTCTGTTTGCAGGTTGCATAGCCTTTGTGTGCCTTCAGATGGGTCCCCCCATTGAACATTGTCATTGGGTTCCTATCTCCTGAAGTGGGCCCCCAGAAGTATGTCACTTCCTTCACCCAAGGCCTCCATGCTCAGATCTCTTCTTTTGCTCTGGCTTTCCTCCCTGTTTTGCTCCTAAGTTCCAGTTCCTTTTTCTGGTTATTCTCCCCATATTCAAATTGAGAAGGTGTAGTGGGGCACAGTGGTAGTCCCAGTGCCCAGGAAGAGTGGAGCTGGTGCACATCTGCACAATACTGGAAAGACCTGGCCAGAGGCTGTTGGCATCTATAAGTGCTAAAGGCTTTCATAATTCACTTCATAGTTGTTCTTCCTGAGTTTGTGCCATCATGCGTTTCTCTGTGCATTAATTTGCCTATTCTCTCTATTCCTGGATGAGCCATAGTTGGCAATTTGCTGTATCAATGACTTGAGAGGCTCTTTATTATCTTAACATGAATGATGCACATGTCTTAAATTGTAGGGAATACCTTTATAAATGGATTTTTTGTTCTTGAGAGAGGGTCTCCTTGTAGCCCCAGCTAGCCTAGAACTCACTACATAGACCAGGTTGTTCTGGATCTCACAGAGATCCTCCTGCCTCTGCCTCCCAAGTGTCACGATTAAAGGCATATGCTGCTATTCCTGGCTATAAACAGTTTATTCATTCATTCGTTTATTCATTCATTCATTCATTCATTCATGGTCTTTTTAAACAGGGTCTCCCTGTAGCCCCAACTGGCCTGAAACTTAGTATATAGACCAGGCTGGCCTTGAACTCACAAAGATCTGCCTGCCTCTACCTCCTGAGTGCTGAGATTAAAGGCATGCTCCACTATGCCCAGCATAAAGAGTTGTTTTTTTGTTTTTGTTTTGGTTTTTTGTCTTTTTGAGACAGGGTCTCTCTGTAGCCCTAGCTGGCCTAGAACTCACTATGTAGAATAGGCTGGTCTTGAACTCCCAGAGATTCGCCTGCCTCTGCTTCCTGAGTGCTGGGATTAAAGGGAGCCTCAATTGGGGAATTGCCTTCATTGGACTGGTCTGTGGCCAAGTCCATGGGGCACCTTCTTGATTATTGAGTGATGTGGGAGGGCCCAACCCACTGTGGGTGGTGCCATCCCTGGGCACGTGGGTCTGTGTTGCATAAGAGAGCAGGCTGAGCAGAGGCCAGGGGAGCAAGCTGGTAAGCAGCATTCCTCCATGGCCTGTGCTCTAGCTCCTGCCTCCAGGTTCCTGCCCTGAGTTCCTACCTTGGGCTCCCTGATGAACTGTGACCCGGGAGATGTAAGCTAAATAAACCCTTTCCTCCCTAAGTTGGCATTGGTCAGAGTGTTTTGTCACAGCAATGAAGAAACAAACTAAGACAGCCACTGTGCCCAGCTAAGGAGAAAAATGAGAAAATTTAGGTAAGCAAAAATAAACCAGTGTTGTGTGTACAAGTGGAGTCATTATGCGACCTGCTTTGTCCTCTTCTTCCCAGAGCTATTATTGTAGCCTTCTGTCTGGTCAGTAAGAACATTTCTTGATTAATATGCAGTGGGCTGATTGGCCAGTGTTTGGCTGATCCAGTCAGTATGTGGATTTGGTAAACTTTACTTACTATGCCTCTCTGGTAGGACAGAATAGTTGCCAAATATTTTGAAGACTGCTTTCAAATTAGCCAGTAGCTTATCACTATGAGCCCTGTAAATTTTTTGCAGCATTTCTTAGATGTGAAATCTCTGGGTCAAGTTTGTCCAGAAAAGTCAGTCTGTTTCATGCTGGCACTGGTTAGGTTTGTTCACCTTGCAGCCAGTGTCCCATCCCTTCTGGGCATTACAGAAGTCTTTCTGATTGGATTGGTTAAGATACCATCTCATTATTATTACTGTGCATTTCTTTGATTCCAGAGTGGGAACATTTTCCTGGTGTTAACTGGCAAGGCTAAGGCTTTGACTGCAGTCTCAAGTCCTAACTGCTTTCTTCCCTGCTAGCATGTCTGTACTTCATCTGCAAAGCACTGGAGAAGGATTGCCGATATAGCAAAGGTCTGGTCCTCAAGGAGAAGATCTTTGAAGAGCAGCCTTGTCTCCGGAAGGACTCACTCCGAATGTTCCTCAAGTGGTAAGGCCTGCACCCCATCTCCTTGTGTGACTGGTGAATATCAGGAGCACATGTTGTTCTCTATGTCCTGACCACCCTGAGGCTGGAGCTCCTGCACTCCAGGGCTTCATCATCTGTATGATTCTCATCAACTGAACTTACTTTGATCTACCTGTTTTTCTTTTCTTTCTCTTTTTTGTTGGGGTTAGGTTCTGTGTATTGAATCCAGGACTGTAACCCCTGCCAAGTTTTGTCATCAGTACTACCCAAGTTCAGTATCCCAAACATGCCTCTGATTTTGTGCCATTCCTGCCTTGCCTCCAGAACAAAACTCACTCCTAGCGCTATCACCCAAGAGGTCCTTTGCAGCCTGGTCCTCTGGTTCTCTCTCCTTACCTCCTGTTTTTTCCTCGCAGGCTCCTTTTGTTAGAGCTGCTTTAGATCCTGGCACATTCCTACCTGGCCCTTTTGTGACCATCCTGTCTCCTCAACCTGACTGACTGCACTAACACTCCCCTGCCATGTCCCCACATCTCTGACTGTCTTGCCATGGTCCTCCTTCACATTCCATTTCTCAGATAGGGCCTCTGCACTTTCTGAGCTCTGGATGTCCATCTCCCAATCTCTCAACCCAGCCAACTCCTCTTGCCCTCCGGTGTTCTCTTGGCCCCTGGAACTTACCTGTTGGGGATTAGTGGCTATTTAACTAAGGGTTTATTCCCCATGATCTTATCTCTGTGTTCACAACTAATGCTCCTGGGGATATAGTTGACAGAGATAGTTAAGTCCCTGAGTGGGTATGTGGGATAGTCCTGCTGGAGGCATTAGGACAATCTGGGCAGAAGGGCAGGTGTTATGTCATCGCGGTTAGAGTGTGGCTATAGGAGGAAACCCAAGGCCTAACTCCCCTTTCTGCATTTGGGAGCTACCGTTAATTTTGGTGAACTTGATTTGTCTAATGACTTTTTGTTGGGATGGGCAAGATACAGTTTTATTTTCTATGACTTTTCAGACATGAAAGTGATATTGTTAATACATAGGAAAACTCTTGCTCTCCCCAATTGTAAATTGTGGAGGGAACAAAGGACTTTGGTCATTTCCAGTGTATGTGGGTGTTAAGAATGCTGATTACCACCCATTTGAGCTCAGGCTCAAGTGGTAATTTATGTTCAGGAAGAATCAGTTGTCAATTAGAGGGTATTAACTTAAATGTATCTCTGCCTCTAAAATTTCAGCCTTGGCTCTAGCTTTAATATTGTAATTTCTCTTTTATCTTACACACTTTTAGTGACATGTCTATTCATGATGTGTCAGTGAGTGCAACTGAGACACAGGCCATCATAGATGAGGCTCTGGGGCTGCGAAAGAAGAGGCAAGCATTGATTGTACGAGAGAAGGAGCCAGACCTGAAACTAGTGCAGCCTATTCCTTTCTTCACGTGAGTGATCAAGTGCCTCTGGGAATGCTGGGCTGGCTGCTGAGACCCTGCCCTACACAGGAAGGAGAACCTCCAGACCAGACCTGGGGCTGGTGGCATGCACAGTTGCCAGGGGCTGGAGGTGTGCCACTACTTGTAGACTAGTAAAAAGTAGCTCCGCTGCTTCAAGCACCCCCAGTCCGAGTTGCTCCTGGCTCTTACCATTACTCACCAGGAATGGTCCCATAAGTTTCCTTTCAGCCTTCCCTACTGAGAGGGAAAAGAACACTAGCATTTGGCAAGCACTAGCCAGGAAGGAACCTGGAACCCTAGAGCTGGGCCCAGGTGTGGGCTTCCCAGGTTATACTTCCCTGGATGTCAAATCTTTGCTTTCCCCAAGGCCAGGTAAGGTGCCCTGTAAGACAGGCCACAGCATAGCCCTTGTGAACCCTGTAATGTGTAAGAAACCCTCTTCTTTCTGGAAAGGCAAGCTGGTGTTTGTGGCCCACCGGAGTTAGAGTAGTTTATACCTTAATAATCTTTGACATTTAATTTCTGCTTTAGAAATTTGGGTATTATGGGTGTGTTGGCTTCATGCCTGAAATCCCAGAATTTGGGAGGCTGAAGCAGATACATCTCTGTGATTTCAAGGCCAGACTGGTCTACATAGTGAGTTCCAGGACAGCTGGATGCCTCATTACATATTGAGGCATCTCAAACAAACACACAGAGATTCTGTCATTAAATCTTTACTCTTAAAACTTAGTATACCTGGCTTTGGTGTTTTAATCCATCTTCTCTTCCCCTAAACAAGCACCTTAGACTCATTGCCACACAGTGGCATAGAGTTCCTTTCCTAGATCAGACATGCCTGGATCCATTCAGTGCAGTCCTGATACTGGTAGTTGGATGACTCTAGGGACATGCTATTCCTTAAAAACTGGGAGAGGCATCCCTCTCTTGTGGGGGGTACCATAATGAAATGGAACATTCAGGGCTTCTGCTGGGGTGAAGCACAGGAGGATACCAGATCACGGCTCCTGCTTGAGCTTGGGCTGCTCTACCTTCACAAGTGTTGGGTTCAAGATTTTGTCACTTATGAAAATGATAAAATGCTGACTACGTTCACCAGCTTCTGTTGAAGTCACAGCTCTGGGAACAACTGCTGAATCTTCATAGGCCAGTTGGCCTTTGTGACTGGGTGCTGACTGGATATGATGGTTCTTTTTTTTGTAGGTGGAAATGCCTTGGAGAGAGCTTGTTGGCCATGTACAACCACCTCACCACCTGTGAGCCCCCAAGACCTAGCCTTGGCAAGAGGATTGACCTGTCAGACTACCAGGACCCCAGCCAACTACTAGCACCCTCTGTAGTGGTGACCCCTGTCAGCATGATCCAGCCAAGTCCTGTCAGTACCAACCCAGCTGTTGCTGTGGCTGAACCTGTGGTCTCCTACACATCTGTGGCCACAGCCAGCTTCCCATTGCACAGTCCTGGCCTGTTGGATACAGGCACTCCTGTGGGTGAGCAGGCCTGTGGAATCATCTTCTTGAGAACAGTGTTTGTTGAGCCCAGTAGGTGGACTTGCCATCTCCAAGGAGATGAATTATGCTAGTCCTTGTGGCCTGAGTGAAAATGGGAGCTTCAGCCTTGAAAGGAAACTGAGCAGCCTGGCCTCAGTGCTAGGCTCTGATGCTCAGGGGATGAGGGATCTGGATATAGCTCCTTGCTACTTGGCAGCCCCCTTCTCAGATGTCAAGTTGCATAAAAATTCCTCTTCCACCTTGTGATGTAACCCTTGGAAGGTCCTTGCCACCAGTCCCACTTTTCTGCTGGATGCATGCATTCTAAGTTCCTCAACCTTAGAAAACAGTAAAGTTATCACCATGCGTGGTAGTACATTTTTTTACTGTTTTGTTGATTTTTTTTTTTTTTTATTACTCCTGAAGTTTTACTAAGTTTTTGAGGAAAGCTCTCATGCATTTTCTCAATTTCACTATCACTGTGTAAAAGAATTTTGTGGCAGTTAGAGAAGTTTCTGAATGAGTATGGGTGTGGTGGTTTCTTTTTCCTCAATTATCTCCAGATAGTTCAGTTCTTCTGCTCTCTTCATGTCATTGGGTATTTGGTGGGTCCTGCTGAGGTCAGTGCCACTCACTCTGCCTATCCCAGGGACATCAACAAAGGCCCCAGAGGCCCCTGCAGCTGATCAGTGTTGAAAGTAGGAATGTTTTGAGCACTGACTTGTGGGTCTTTTCAGCTTGAGAAGGTTGTGAGATTTATAGTACTTTAAATTCGTTTCACTTAGGACTTTGCCGTTGAAGAAGAGCGATTTCATGACTGTTAAAGAAGAGTTCATGCTGGCATTCCAAACGGGACTGCCGTTTCTGTGGTTCTTTGTTTTCCTCTGCTGCCATTGTATAAAATTTTAATTTGCATTCTTTGTGAAGGTGATATTTCTGGGGGAGATAAATCTAAGAAAGGGGTAAAACGGAAGAAGATTTTAGAAGAGAGTGGAGAGACAGCAAAACGGAGGTCTGCCCGTGTCCGAAACACTAAGTGCAAAAAAGAAGAGAAAGTAGACTTCCAGGAGCTTCTGGTGAAATTCCTGCCATCCAGGTATTGTGCAGTTGTGTTGTTTTGTTGTGTTTTTCTGAGTTGCAAAAGAAGCAAGTGCTCAAGAGGCCATTCCACCCCTCCACCTGCCAGTAACATTTTTCATTTCATCATCACCTCCTCAGGGTGCCTCCCTGTTTCCTTTTAACATTTGTGTGACCCCTGTCAGCATGATCCAGCCAAGTCCTGTCAGTCCAACCCAGCTGTTGCTGTGGCTGAACCTGTGGTCTCCTACACATCTGTGGCCACAGCCAGCTTCCCATTGCACAGTAGACTGGCATTGGGGTTTTTCTTACCTTTTTTTACCTTTCAGCTGTGGCTGTTTTTTTTTTTTATTGGGGATCAGGTGCTTTCTGAGCTCTTATAAGATGCTTGGCTAGGGAGGTAGAGGAGCATAGTCATGAAACCCACATGTTCTTTGGGGCTTTGGGGCTGCTACACAGTCCCATTTAAACCTACTCAAGCCCCATAGAAGGAAGCTTCCTGTCTGCTTTTAGTGAGCTTATGCTTACCTGCCTGACTTTTTTTTTTTTAATATAAAAAATCACTATAGTATAATGAACTCACAAAAACATTATTTGGCTAGATTACCATAGCAACACAAGCAAACACTTGCTCAGTCCCAAGCTCTGTGCACCCCAGTGAGCTTCTCTACAGTCAGCTTAGCCATTCTCAAGCCGTTGAGCTTTACTTAGGGTTTCGTACTTTTCCACACTATTACATTTTTATGTGCTTACCACAGAAAAGAAAAACCAGTACAGAGTCAAAATTAGAAAACAACTAATTTATATCCTCCTTCATGATTCATGTGGCTTTAACTAGCACTCTTTCATATCACACAGTATTAACCTTTCTTGTTCTCCTTTCTAAATGTTATACTATACCTACACATACTTTTTTTTTTTTTTAAATATATATACATGTATACGTTATAGGCTAAGATCTGCATATGAGGGAGTACATGGGATCTCTTCTTTCTGGGATTGGGTGACTACATATTATGTAATCTAACTCCATTTTCCTGCATATTTTGTGATTTCATTTTTCTTTAGAGCTGAATAATATTCCATTTTATATATGTACTAGATTTCCATTATCTATTCATCTATGATGGTTATCTAGGTTAGTTCCATTTCCTTGCTATACTAAATAGAGAAGCAATAAACCTGGGTGTGCAAATATTTCTATGATAGGATATGGAGTTTTCTGGTTATATGCCCAGGAGTGAAATAGATGAGTCATATGGTAGTTCTATTTTTAACTTTTTGAAGAACATTCATCTGATTTCCATAGTGGCTGTATTAATTAGCATTCCCACCAGCAGTGAGTATGGGTTCCTCTCTCTCTTTTTTTCTTTTTTTGGTCTTTTAGAGACAGGGTCTCCTTGTAGCCCTAGCTGGCTTAGAACTCACTATGTAGACCAGGCTGGCCTCAATCTCACAGAGATCCTCCTGCCTCTGCCTCTCCAGTGCTGGGATTAAAGGTGTGTGCCACCATACCCAGCTTGTTGTCAGATTTCTTGATGATAGTGATTCTAACTGGAGTAAGGTGGTATTTTAAAGTAGTTTTAATTTGCATTTCTCTGATGTCTAGGGATGCTAAACACTTTTTTAAAATAGTTATTGGCCATTTGAGTTTTTTCTTATCTTTCTTTGTTTTTGAATATTGTCTATTCAGTTTATTAGCCTATTTGTTGATTGGCAGTTTTATTGCTTTGGTATTTAGTTTCTGCAGTTCTTTGTAAAATAGATATTAGCCCCGTGTCTGTATAGCTGATAAAGATTTCCCCCCATTCTGTGGGCTCTCTGCTCTGCTGATGGTTTCCTTTACTGGGCAAAAAGTTTTTAATTTAATGTAGTCCCATCTGTTGATACGTGGGGCTAGTTCCTGTTCTATTGAGGATCTATTCAGAAAGTTCTTCCCTACCCCAATGTCTTGAAGAATATTCCCTATGTTTTCATCTAGGAGTTACAGCATTTCAGGTTTTAAATTAAGGTCTTTGATCCATTTTGAATTAATTTTTTAAAATAAAGTAAAAGATATGAATCTAATTATATTCTTTTTTAAAAAATATTTTATTATTTTTATTTTATGTGTATGAGTGTATTGCCAGCATGTAGGTAAGTGCACCCATGTCGTGCAATGCCCGTAGAGGATAGAAGAAGCCATTGCATCCCCTGGAACTGTAGTTACAGACAATTGTTAGCTGCCATGTGGGTGTTGGGATTTGAACCCAGGTCTTCTGCAAGAACAGTGTTCTTAACCACTGAGCCATCTCTCCAATCCCCTGAATCTAATTATATTCTTTTGCAAATGAATGTCTAGTTTTGCTAGTACCATTTGTTAAAATGGCTATTTTTACCCCCAGGGTGTATTTTTGCCTCCTCAAGAATTAGGTGGGCATAGCTTCGTTGGTTTTATTTCTGGGTCCTCTGTTCTGTTCCATTTGTCTACCTGTCTCTTTCTATGCCTGTACCAGGCTGTTTTAATCCCTATTGCTCTGTATATAATTTGAGGTCAGGTATTATGATACCTTCAGCTGTGTTCTTACTCCTTAGGGTTGTTTTTGCTATTTGTGGTCTTCTGTGGTTCAATAAGAATTCCTGGATTGTTTTCTCTGGAATTATAAAATATGACATTGGAATTTTAATAGTTATTACATTAAGTCTGTAGATTAACTTTCATGTTATTATGCTGATCCAGGAGCATGGAAGGTCTTCCCATGGTCTTACCATCTCCTTTAATTTCCTTTTTTAATATTTCAGATCTTCCTTCCTTCCCTCCTCCCTCCCTCCCTTCCCTCCCTCCCTCCTTCCCTCCCTCCCTCCCTCCATCCCTCCCTTCCTTCCTTGCTTCCATCTGTAACCAGATTTATCCCTGAGCCCAGGCAAGGGGAACAGGGCCCATGAATCACAGTATTTCTATGGCAGCCTTTTGTGCCAGTGCCTGCCATCAGTAGGGTAGGCACTGAATTTGACATGGCTGCAGAGATTTTTCTCTTCTTTGGTTAGATGTATTCCTAGGTATTTAATTTGGGGGGCAGCTACTGTGAATGGGATATTTTCCTAATTTCTTTCAGTAAGATTACATTGTTGGTATATGTGAAGGTTATTTTTAAAATTTTTTAATATATTTTTAATTGAGCTTTTGTAATTTCATGTAACAGCTCTTGATCAAATTTAGACCTCCCTCCCCCATCCATGCCTCCCCCATTCCTCTACCGAACCTCATGTATTCCGCCGTTCATGTTAAGTCCTATCCAGTCAAGCATTTTTACCCAAATGTCTTTCAGTATAAATGCATCCACTAGAGTCTAGTCAGCCCATCTAGAGATCCTATGAAAGGCATACTCTCTCTCCCCGAGTAGCAATCAGTCTCCAGTAGTTCTTAGTCTAGTGCTAGCCCACTACCCATTTCTCTCCTCCCCTGTGGGCTCTTGTTTAATTAAGTTGGTGTGGGTCCTATGCTCACTACCACCATTGCCACAAGTTCACACATGCAAGCTTCCAGTGGCTTTGAAAGCCTCTGCTTCCCTGTGTTCATGAACCAGCCCTGGCTCTTACAATCTTTCCACCTTCTTTTCCACAATGGTCCCTGAGCCGTGGGTGGGTGAGGTTTGATATAGGAGTCCTGTCATACACTCTGTAGTCTCTTACTCTTTAAAACTTGGCCAGTTGTGGTTTTCTGTGTGCATCACCACTGTTGTATAAGGAAGCATTACTGGTGAGAGTTGAGGGATACATTAGTTTTCTCTCTATCCCTTGTTCTGCTATGTTCCATGAGCCTTAGGTGTAGAAGTTCAACTGTAGATGTGTCCCCTAGTGCTGGGCATCTCTCAGATGTATGTTTTCTATATCTGACCAGTTGTGCAATTCTGCAGTAGCCTCCATCTGTTGCAAAAAGAAGCTTCTTTGATGAGTGGTGTATGGTATGCTTGTCAGAGTCCTGGCTGGGCAAGTCTGTCTGCCTGATCCTGGAGCCAGGGAAGGTGGCAGTGGGAGGACTGCCTGGGGAGGGACTTGGGCTCTATGGTAGGGTGTTTATCTAGTCTGGGTTAGAAAGCTAGTCCAGGGATCCGAGGTGGAGGAGCTGGTAGGGGACCTTATTTTTTTTCATACTGATTTTGTATCCTGAAACTTTATACTATTTATTAGATCTAGGAGTTTTCCAGTAGATTCTATAGGGTCTTTTATGTATATAATCATGTCACCTGCAAATAGGGATCGTTTGACTTCTTTCTTGTTTTATTTCTTTTATTAATTTTTAAAAATATTTTAATTTTTATTTTATGTGTATGTGTGTATTGTCTGCATGTAGGCAAGTGCACCTGTGTCATGCAATGCCCGCAGAGGGTAGAAGAGGTTGTCAGATCCCCCGGAATTGGAGTTACAGACAGTTGTTAGCTGCCATGTAGGTGCTAGGATTTGAACCCGGGCCTTCTGCAAGAGCAGTCAGTGTTCTTAACCGCTGAGCCATCTCTCCAGCTCCTTTCTTATATTAATTTTATGTCTTTCTCTTTTCTAATTGCCATAGCTAAGAGTGAGCACTATGTTAAATAAGAGGAGCGAGTAGGTAACCTTGTCTCACTTCTGTGTTAGAGAAGATGTTCTCAGTTTGTCTCCATTTCATATAGTGTTTGTTATAGGTGAGTTGTATATAACCTTTATAATTCTGAGTCATTCTCCATCTCTTTCTACCATCTCCAGGTCTTTTATCATGAAGGCATGCTGAACTTTCACAAATGCCTTTTTGGCATCAATCACTGATTATGTGGTTTCTGTCCTTAAGTGTGTTTATATGATATGTTACACTTGTTGATTTGTGTATGTTGAACCAACCTTGCCTTTCTGGGATGAAGCTAGTAGTTGGTCATAATGTATGATCTTCTTAATGTATTCCTGAATTCAGTTTGCGAGTATTTTGTTGAGAATTTTTGCTTTTTTGTTATGTCTTTACCTGTTTTCTTTAAAATTACTTATTATTTTTTATTATTTTATGTATAT